AGTCGGATTACTAGAAGTCTGAGAATTCCCGTGGGATTATAGTTAGAAATGAGTATTTCTGGATTATAGATATAAACGAGTACAAGAATGAGTACACCTGTCCAAGAATGAATTGTTTATTTGCTTATTTACTAACTTAATTTTAGACAATCTTTACACTCAAAAATATTAATTATCGTTTTTCAGTAAGTTTGTCATTTACTTTCATTATATGCAGATAACCTGCTAGGAATCTGTCTCTTCTATTTTTAATTCAATATGAGTCTCTTTTCTTTTTATTTTTTGTTTTTGCATTTTATAAGCATATTTCACATACATCGGAAAATAATTCCATCCGTATTCGGGAATATAATATCTTCAGAAATCGGGAACTTATGTGTGTGGAAAGGTCAATTTGTTCAATATACGGAATTCTATAAATAAGCACAATATAAAATACAAGAAATTTAACTCTTAGTATACTCGATTTCATTGTATTATCATTGAAATCCCTAACTTGAACCATTCTTTGGTGTGGATCCAAATTCCTGTCGATTGCATTGATGGTCGTCTCATATTCTGGTTTGATTAATAGCAATCCATTGAGTTGTGTTGTTTTCTGCAATGAGACCACGGTGATCGCATTTACTCGTCACAGTTCCTTTTTATATCAATTTCTCTTCCGCTATTTTAGTCATTTGCATCATTATATCAGGTAGCTTTGTTTCATTATTAATTTCATTAACGCTATTTCTCTTTTACCAGCTAATTATCATTGTTTTTTTTTCAAAGCTTTTTATCTTCTGCATATCCTTTTTTTGCTATTATTTTTACTGCTCAAATTAATTAATGAGTGAAATTGAATGAATTAGAGAAGGTGAAAATTTACTCTATATCCTATCCCATGTATGGGAAAAATGAAAGTTTTTGGGGTTGTTTTAATCCGATTGCCTCTATTTTGTTTATGATTATTGTTTATAAGGCGAAAATTTGTGTATATATTATTTATATGCATATATATAAGTGTGCAAGGAAGGGAATTTTTTCTTTTGAAGTTCAATTTTATAATTCATCTTTTACTATTTATATGCCTATATGAATTTTCTATATAAGTGTCTTCATTAACTATTCATATCCAAAATTATTTGTGATTCTTTTTGAAGTTATTTTAAGAATCGTTTCATTTGTATTTATTTCTTTACTGAAATCAGTAATGTCCATTTTTTTAATTTATCCATTAAGAATGAGTGTTTAACTTGGCAGGTGGAGGAGGAAGGACGATGTGAAAGATTTTGATATGACAGGTGGAATGATTTTGATAAAATTAGCATTTGGATAAATGAAAAGATGAGCATATTTTAGCCAACACATTGTTTAATAGTCTGAATAAAGTCAGGGAATTAAATTAATTAATAAGCAAATTTAATTCTTTAGCTTTTTCTTTTAGCGCATTTCACTCTTCATGTTAATAGATTATACATTATTTGATTATTCAAATTTTTAATCATTTATTCTTCATCAAAAATCAGAAAAGTTTTCTGAAATCATTTTGTGAAAGATTTAAATTCATATTGTCGAAAAATTTAACGGTTTTTTAAAATTCACTTTGGAAAAGAAAGTGTCTGTTTCTGTGATTTGCTTTTTGGCTGCTTTCGTACCACTTCAAAAACTGTGACATTTATTTTCGTTTTTGTTTATTTCATCTGTTTGCTACATTTTTTTCCGGAATTCCGGATCTGAAAGGGTTTTCTTTTTTTCGTATGCAATTTTATCTTCGGTTTCGAAAATAATTTATGTTTTCATAATAATTGCAAGTTTGAAAATCAAAAAGTTAACGTATTAAAATGTATGGTAAAGCACGAAAAAGTAAATTTCACTTGCGTATCATTTCATGACAAATTCATATCTTGTTTGGATTTCAATTAAAAATGTCCATCAGAACTTTAATATCAAATTTCATTGAAAGTATAGCAGTTAGGTAGAGGTGTGAAGGGGGGATTTTAAATTAGTATAGTTTTTGTGAAATTGTCTGCGCAAGAATAAGAATGGACTGGTGGCAGACATTGGTGGCAGATTTTTTTGGGGTGGCAGACATTAAATTTCATTCATTTTTCAATTTCATTCATCAAACGTCAACTTCTTCACAGGAAAAGTAGAGACGATAGGAATGGTAGATTATTTATATAATTAATTGTTGAAAATATATATTGTGAATTTTGTGTTCGAATTGCTACAATAACGGCAGATAGTGATTTCGTTTCTTACATTTTATGTATGCATGCATGCGTCTTTCAATTATTGTCAGGCGTTGTTATTTTGGCATATTTTTTTCGAGATGGATATTATTATTGTTATTATTATCATTATTATCATTATTATTATCATTATTACCATTATTATGTTATAGATTTTTTCATTTATAAAGTGTTGTATGAAAAGGAAATGAAATTAAGAGGAAAAACATAAAACAAATGCATTTTACTTCTTTCCCTCTCATTCACTCTCCTTCCTCATTTATTATGCATAATTTGATTTGGTGAAGACTAAAAATTAACTAGAAATTGTATATTAAATCAAAGATCAAAATTACTAGTTGTTTATTGGTAGGATTAATTAACACATATAAATAACTTTGAACTATTTATACAGAGAAAAATCCAATAATATTGACTACTACTATATCGTTGGATTTCTCCATATATTCTGTAAGTGATAATAAAGGAGATGATGTTGGAGTATGCGTGCATTTCTAGATGGACGGATGATGCTAATTTGTAGGTTTGATTTAGATAATTCACACGTACTTGGTTGCATATTCCACGTCGTCAGTGTGCTCTATTTAACTTTTGTAATATAATATGTTTGAGACAAAATTGAGGAATGAAGAGGAGGAAGAGAAAGAATGGATAGATTGTATGTGCTACATCGAAAAAGAATGGCTTGCGTGCGTGACTATTAGCAAGAATGGTACGATACATAAAAGGTTGAAGAAGGGAAAAGATGGGTTGTGATGGAAATGTTATAAGAAGAGTTGAGTGAATGAGGATTGTCTGCTGATGTTGGTTGTTGAAGAATGCTTCTTTCTGAGGTAAACCGGGTAATAGGGTAGATTAATGACTACTAGCAAGAATAGTACGATACATAAAAGGTTGAAGAAGGGAAAAGATGGGTTGTGATGGAAATGTTATAGGAAGGATTGGATGAATGAAGGTTGTCTAGTGATGCTAGTTGTTGGTGAATGCTTCTTTCCGAGGTAAACCGGGTAATAGGGTGGATCAATGAAATTAGCAAGTGAATGTTTATCTCTTCTATTTGAATTCTTGAAATTTCAATTTAAAATTTCAAAATATAAACATTATATATATCCGTCTTTCCAATTAACAAATGAGAATGATCCATTTAGATGGAAGAGAAAAACTAAACATGATTAGTAAATAATATGCTATTTTCATTCTTATTCCTTCTTCATTTACCATTATTTAACTTATATTTTATAGGAGCATAATTAGCTAACTCAGGATTCAGAATTATCAGGTGAAAAGAAAATGACGTGATTTAAAAGCTGATATTGATTTATCTTCATTTTTCTTTTCAGTTCAAAGTTTTGTCTATTTTCCAGAAAAGAAAGATTATATTGGTTGAGGTATAAATAATACGCATTAGTTTACAATGTTAAATTTTAGAATTAAAAGATGGAAGCTTTACGTATAACTTTTTCAATTAATTTCAACAATTAGTAATGTATAGTTATAAGCATTATGCGACATTGGACAATTATTCAATTTATGTGAAATAAAAGAACAAACAGGTTTACACTGATGACCTTTCTATTTTCCGGAGGAAATTTGTTACTAAATAATGTTTGTTGTTGATGATAAAAGGGACCGATTAATAAAGAACAGGTGTTGAGAAGCAGCAATATCTGTGCAGATTGAATTCCCAGATCAGCTGAAAATTCTACACTAATTTTTCTCTTTTCCCATGTAGGATCTAAAATAAAATCTAAGTGCAATTCGAGTATTGAATCTACTTAAAATGCTTTTTTGCAAGTTCAGATTGCAAACGAATGATCATTAATTAAGAATTAATATATGTATTGATTTTTTCAATCCTAATCATTTTTCACAATTTCTGTATTTGTGCTTTTTCGGAAGAACAAAATACATAAATTTGTTTCTACTGCCAGTTTCAGTGATGATCATACTCATCAATACATCTTTATTCTACCAACTAAAATATATTTCTTCAATACATAGATTTTCTTATCAAAACATATACGGAAAATTGTTTTGTAGATTTTGGAAACTGATTGCTTGCCTTGTGGTTCTCATAATGATATTATTGATCAAAACCATCCATTTGTAATGTTGCCATAGAATGGTTGCACAATGAGCATTGAAACATGCAATGATATTGTTGATACGATTAACTTTACTATGTTATCGTGTACATATGTGTGTTTTATTACTTTCATAGGAATGAGAAAGTTTGTTGTGTAGTTTAATTGAATTTAAAAATTTTCATATTTTTAGCTGAAGAAGAGTGTATATAGTCGCTGGTTGGTTGATTTTGGCAAAAAAGCATTTCACATTATGGCAGGTAAATTTTCTCCTACGAAATGAGTGGAAGACTATTCTTTACTAATATTAAATTATTTTTGTATTACAAAAGGTTGGAAGATAGTTATCAGAGCTTAAATTTATTATATTTGTTATGGCAATTCTATTTCTTGATCGGATTGTAGCATTTGTCACTAGGTCATTATGTCAAGAATGTATTTGAGATTGTTGGTAATATGCTAAGGTTTAAATCGTAGTAAGTTCGAAATTTCGAAGAAACTAATAAAGGATAGTGGGAGAAGTATGTTGACATGGATGAGAGCAGTGAAGTTTGTCATATTTTTGAAGATTAAATTATCTTGATCTTGATGCTACAAGTTAAATGCTGATTACAAATCAATATTTTCACTATAATATTTTTTCAACTTTTCAACAGGCTGTAGTGATGTGGAGAAGGTCAGAATGCAGATGGAACGAGCGAGCGTAAGTTTAACCAATACATCGTATTATAGATGAGATAATATTAAGTTCTAAGTGGTTTTTGCACCGAATATGATTACTTGCTTGATTATGGGGTAATATTTTTGCAGTTTATTTTGGTTTTAAAAGTTTTCCCAAGAAATTCTATATGTAGTCGGTATAAACATTTCAGGTTAGCGGATCCCCAGTTCATCTGGCAAAAAAAATAGCTCCAGGAACTCGCAAATTTGAATCATTAGATGTAGTCACAAATATCTGGGGATTGATTCCGCACGAAAATATACCGATTTATCGTTATGATTTCCGTGTATTAGAAGAATATCCACCTAAAAAGGGTAGCACGGAACCATCACTGAAAGAAGTAACGAAAAACACGAAAAATGAGTACGTGGTTTTTTTCATTAATAATCTTTAGTTATATTATTGAGAAAGGTTCATATAATTGACTCCGTTTATGCCTATCAAATTTATTACTTTTGAAAAAATACTGCTGTACTGCAGAGAAAATCGTTAAAATCGCTATCATAATAAAGTTAGTAAAAAGGATAGAATGAGAAGGGCCATTTTGAAAATCCAGAAGGGAAAAGGAATAAACGGAGTAGTGTTACTATAGTATTTTCTTACTGCAAGCTAGTGTGTGAAATAATCTTTAAAGAAATGATAATGACAAAAAATTTTCAAGTTATCTTACGGTGGATCGCAAAACACGATGTTTGATAATTTACCAAGCTTTGTTGAAACGTGAGAAACAATTTTTCGGTGCTATGGACTCACTAATTTATGATCGTGCTTCTATTTTGTATTCTTTACGGAAACTACCTTTTCAAATGGCTGGTGATGAGGTTTGAGTTTTCCTTTTTTTGTTTTTCTAGAATCTTTGCCTACCATGTGTTAGTGACTGCATGAAGAATTTTAATAACTGATTGAAAGTAGCGTGACTATAGAAAGTGTCAGCGGATTAGAAAGAGCAACTGAGATAACGGAGTATACCAATAATCTTCACGTGCCCAAAATTGGTTTTCAAAATAAGCGTACATTTGCTTTGCTATGTTATTTTCCCCTTTATGCATACCAATGAATTCTTCCTACTCTATTTTAACATTTGCGATATTTTGCAGTAATTATATTAAGGTATACAAATATTGGATATGATTAAGAACAGTTAACTAGGATCCCATGCTTACGAATACAGTGACTTCTAAAAAATTATTTCAGTGGTTCATTTTGATTTATAATTCAACAAACATGACGTAATGAACAAGGTTTAACATAGTAGTTTTGCTTAAAGAAGTTAGTTTTCGGGATACTTTGCAAACGTGAAGCCTGACAATGCCAAATATTGCTCGACATAAATTTTTTCCCAACCTTTTTCTCTTTCTTTTAAAAATGAAATGAATTTTTAGCAGCGGGAAACATTTTTTTTAAACCCGAGTGAACTTCCAGTAAATACTGTTGATAAAGATTGTGTGAAGATACATGTATACGTAAGTTCATTTTGAATTTAATTTCTTTAATCTTTGTTTTGTGTAAATATCTTATTGAAATCCTCAGTTCACTGCAAAAAAAAGAAATGATACATGTTTAATAGTTTAATCTGAATGATAAGTAACAATTAATTCAATTATTTATTCAGAACTCGGTAATAAGTTTTTGAATAAATTTTTTTTGATGAAATGAAATAGGGAGTTGATACGTATTTTACTCCTGGATAAGCGAGTTTGTCAATTTTTGGATAAAGGAGACGAACAAAAGTTCATTTCACCTTTGTTCTTATGGATGATTAGGAAGACTTCTTTTTTTTTGATATAGGTGAAACCTTGTAAAGAAGATTTCCAATTGACAATGAGTGATCTGAAGAGTTGTGTCAGCAGCAATCCGGATGAAATCAACCGAAGTTTACAGCAGTTTTTAGAAATTTTGGCTATGCAAGAAGTATTTTTCATGCAGTAAGTTAAATATTGTTTGTTAAAATGAAAGAGGCTTTGTGCACAAAACGTACTGTCTCAGTGTCTGATAGTGCTTGAAAATCGATCAGAAAGAATTGTAGGATGTGAAGGGAAATGCTCATTTAACAGATAAATTGGCAAATGTAATTAGTCATGCATCAATTTTAGTTCAACATCAATGGCACTTAATATTATGGTTTGGAAGATCTTGGTAACTTATGTGTCATTGTTTTTTTTCTCCTCTTGATTGTTTCCTTTTATCGGTTATATGTTTATATCCAGAGGCCAATTTGTGAGTTATGGAACTGGAGAGTGTTACCTTATGGATCCAAGCCAGTTCGGCTTTGGAGAGAGAGATGTGCCCGAGCTTCAGGAAGGGAAATATGTTGCTATTGGTGCAGCGAAAGGTGTACGAGTAATTGAAGGACCACGAGGCTTCAACAAAGGCATTAACGCAGCATTAGTACTTGACGGTTAGTACAGTTTTTTCTAGAATTTTATTTGCCAGTAATCTTTGCAAGGTACAATTATAGCGATCCACAGAACTAAGAAATTTATAAAATATTTGGAGTTGTTTTTTTATTTGTATTAATTTTAGTGAAAAAAGCAGCATTCCATATTGATAATCAGAACTTGCTTGGAAAGGTGGAACACATTCTTCGAAAGAGTAGAGTTGACTTGACGCGTGGTGTTGATCAGCAGTCAATAATTGTTTTAAATAAAGCTCTCAAAGGTATTTTTCTGACGGTATATCAAACACTGATAGTTGCGTCTGTTGATATTCATAGGTAAAAGTTTGCTAATTCTGTTGCTGTCAATTTTTTGTTCATCTTTGCATGTCCTGTTTCATCCATTTGTTTCGCGATCTTATAATCAACCAATTTGCTCTCAGTGGAGGAACTTCGATCCATAAAGAAAATTATCTATCCTACTACTAAATTTTTATTTTTCAGTTTCATATCTCGTTAATTGTTTTCTTAATTATTCTGTAAGAGTTTAAAAAATCTTTGATTATAGGATTGTATGTTCGTTGTAATTATGGCAAAAACCGTGCATTCATTATTGCAGCTATTTCGAAAGAAACTGCGCGGACAGCAAAGTATGATCTTGTAATCGTTCCTTCATTATACTACTGCAATATTAAATTACTTTTTTTTTGCTTTTCTAGGTTAGTGGCCAAAGACGGTGAAATGTCGGTTGAGAAGTATTTCGTGATGAAATATTCGATGAAACTGAAATATCCAACGTTGCCGTTGATTATGGAACGATGTCAACCAACAAACAACTTTTATCCGATAGAACTGTTAAGTGTATGTGAGAATCAACGAGTATCTAGGACACAACAGACATCATCTCAGGTGCAGACCATGATTCGAGTAAGTGTGAAATGCTTTAACTTCAAGCGCTTTTTTATGTCAGGGCAGTTTGGTTTTCAACATTCAGCTTTTTTTGTCATTCAGAGTTTCTTTTCCAATAGCTATTTTTTTTTGTCTCGGAATTCCAAAACATCCTTTTAATATATATATCAAAATCTATTACTTAGTGCTGGATGCTTTGTCACAGTCGGTTCGTCAAATTTTTGTTTTCTTGCATGACATAAATGTTCCTTTTTGATGATGTAGTATTTGGGAATTCGATAAAACAAGTTGTCCCTATGACTTTTTATATTTTTACATAATCAAACTTTGTTTTTCAGACATGTGCTATAAATCCGTCTCTTCGACTGCAGCAGACAAATGCACTAGGTAAAGCGATGAAGATTGATACCCTTAGCAAGAATATATGGATGGAAAAGTGTAACGTGGCTCGTACAAATAATTTGGCGGTATTTGTTATTTATTCCTCCTTTTTCCCATTCTTACTTGTTTGGGTTTTTGCTTTCATGAGTGCAAATGAAATTTCTATAAGTGAGCAAAGCTTGAGAGATTTTTAAGGAAGGAATTGAAAAAATTTCTAATTATGCTGGATTACTGTATGCTTATCGTCTGTTGTGCTTAAAATGTATTCCATTTATTTCGAGAACAATAGCTAGCGAAATTAAGTGAAAACTGTCCATCACTAAAGGTGATATTTTTTCTTTTGTTTTTAGTTCACGGCAAGAGTGCTTCCTATGCCAGCTATTGAATATCGAACGAACGGTTGGCTAAAACCGAGCGAGATGGTAAACAAAAATTTTCTGTTGATTGGTTTCTTCATTTTTAATGTACACTTAGAAACTTTCAACATTATGACTTTTTTAAAATAATTTTATGCCTTTACACCAACCGGTTTTTAGCTTTCTGTGTTTGCAAAAATCATGCTTTCATTGTTAAGGCTTCATGGATGGATGGGAAGAATCAATACCTGATTCCGGCTGTTTGCAAAAATTGGTATGCGGTGGCATTAATGGGTCCACGAGAAGGAAGGCTTAATGAGCATCAATTCCGGTTTGGTTTTTTAAGTGTCATGATTTGAGCTTATCGTGTGAGGGGAAAGAAGTATTCTTGAGATGAGGAATATCCGGAAGTATGGACCATTAAAAAATTTCTTTATCATCTTCACTATTCTATCGTTCTAAGCTGAGTATTTCATTGATGTAGTGAAACATTTGCAGTAATTATGTACGCATTTTCTTGCAACATTGCCGTCGGCATGGCATGGAAATGAGCGATCCAGCCAGATGTGAATATATTCATCATTCAAAACAACAGGATATTGAACCGTTGATTGCGAAAGCCAAAAGTATGGGCGCTACATTCGTTCATTTTGTGACTGCTGATGAATTGAATTATCATGGTGATTTTATTTCTGAAATGTATTATTTCTTCCTCACAAGCAGTTTTAAAACCTTTTATAAGCAGTTTTTTTGCGAAATTTGCTGTTCGAGTTCGAGACGATAATTTTTCACACTAAAACAACATTTACATATTAGCTTTTTTCGTTCATTCTGTCTTCTTTCATTTATTTCTTTTGTAATTTTTTATTATGCATCAATGAAAATAGCACTTCCTATCTTGAATTTTGTGGTAATTTTTAAATAGAGTAGAATTGCAGTACACTTCACTTTAGACATTATCCGTGGAACGTAAATAATTTAATTATTCTCCGTACTTAGCGTTTGTTCTTGATTGGGACTTTAGTTTTGCTTTTAAAATGTTTAAAATTTTCTTGGTGTATTGTAGTGTACCTTAGGCCTTTTCTTCTCCTTTCGTTGTTTCATTAATTTAATTCTCGTATGCCTCCAATAATGATTTTTGAGGCTTTTTTGTCTGCGGCCAAATTTGCAGTTTAGAGTGATGTTTATATAGTGTGGAATTTTTCAGCGCACATGAAATATATCGAGTCGCAAGAACAAATTGTTACACAAGATTTGAAAGCATCCACCGCAATAGCAGTGGCCATGCAAAACAAACGTCAAACACTTGATAATATTGTCAATAAAGCGAACATAAAAATGGGAGGGCTGAATTATTCGGTGCATCTTGAGACGAGGTGATCGCATTCTTTCCACTTTTTCTATTTTCTCGCAATGGTTTTTGAAAATTTTCGCTTGAAACAACCTTTCTTATTTTTGAAGCAACGCGCGACATTTTAGCTGCGACGAATGGCTAACGAAATCAGGGCTTCTCGTTGTGGGATTAGATATAGCACATCCTGCTTTTTCCTTGGTGTCTAAGAAGGATCGAAATACTGTCCCGTCTGTTGTTGGTGTAAGTAACAATCCGTTGAGGTGTTTTTAGTTGAAATTTTTAATTTTCACTTTTGATTTTCGAAGTCAATGAACGTTCAGTATTTTGATTGTTTCGTTTCTAATTTCCAAAATATTAATATTGCCTCAAGATTTTTCTTTCCAGTATTCAGCCAACATAAAAAAACATCCATTGGATTTCATTGGCGGATATCGCTATGGCAAGGCGAATGCGGAAGAGGTATGCTTGGTTTTATTATTTTTCATTTTATAGCGGTCGATATTATTACACAATTATTTCTCAGACATATGAGTAAGTATATAGTCAGTTAAATCATATGAAACTATACATACATATTTTGTACCAGGCAAATTATGGTATTTTAGCGCCATTTGTTTATCGACAGTGCTTTTATAACTAATATTTTTTACATACTATGCTTATCAGATGGTAGACGATACGATGCAACATATATTCTCAGATATATTACGTTATTTCAATGCAAATCGCAGGAAACCGCCCACGCATTTATTCGTTATTCGAGATGGCATATCTCTAGGACAATACAAATATGTAAGTTCTTTCTTTTTATTATTTTTCTTTTGTGTTTCTACATAATTTAAGTTTAAATCTCCAATATTTGGTTCAAATTTCGAAAATATGGTAATTAGTAGTTTAATCGTGAATATTTAGTAATGAAAGGATTTTTCGCAGGTCATGAACACTGAAGTAGAGCAGATCAAAAAAGCTTGCCAGATGGTTGGCGGACCTGGTTTCCGTCCCCACATCACTTTCATTGTGCTCACAAAGATGCACAACTTGCGCATTTATAAGAAGGTTGATTCGATTTTTTATCAAAATTTGTATTTTTAAGATTGGTTTGAAAGTTTTTTGAAACAGTTGGATTATTATAGAAGACATTACCAAAATGTGCGCTGTTCAATTTAAGTTGCATTTAGAAATTTGATTTAAGAATTTTCTGGTTACGTAATGAACTAAGGTATCGTATGTTAATGGTCTGGCTGTGCAACTTCGTTTTATTCTACTAACTCTTTTCGATTCTGAACATTATATTTTGTAGAATATTCGTAAGCAGGATCGAGCTGCGCAACAGAACATTAAACCGGGTACAATTATCGACGAGTATGTGGTGAACCCTGTAATAAACGAATTTTATTTGAATTCTCATTCTGCATTTCAGGTTAATTACAAGCTTTTTTTTCATTTTATTTTCTAATGATTGGTATAAAAATTTCTTGATCCTAATAGAATTTGTTGGGCTTGCTCTCGTCCCCTCTGCTTGGAAATAATAATAGCGTTACACTGAAAATCATTGAATGATAGAAATGGCTTTTTAATAACTGACTGAATTTTTATCAAAAATTTTAGGGTACCACAAAAACACCACGGTATACAGTATTGCTTGATACTTCGGAAATGAAGGCGGATGTAATGCAGGGTATCGTGTATGCACTTACGTACGATTTCCAAATTGTAAATATGGCTGTGTCGCGTCCATCTCCAGTGATGATTGCTTCACGTATGGCCAAGCGTGGTCGTTCTAATTATATAGCTATGTAGTACGTTTAAATTTTTATAAGTTTTAATTTTTATAATGTTTGATGTACCAGAATCGAGAAATGAACGAGATTTTTTCATTTCGTGATTAGAAGCTATTTTCATACTGAAGATTTCTTAAAAACTCTTTTAATTCATATATGAGCAATTAAAATTTGAATAATTTTTAGCGGTGATGAGTCCGAAAATTCTGATAATGGTAGCGGTAGCGTTGAGAAAGATATGGTCGAGTTAAACAATCAACTGAGCTACATTAGTAAACCGCTGGAGGCCGTGCGATTTAATGCTTGAATACCACCTGAATCAAATTCTTCTGTACATATAAATTTTTTTCAGAAACAGAAGCGTTAGCATCTAATAACATGTGTGTAAAATTTCTTTTTTCTTAAACTCCATAAATCACGGGATTTTCTATTCTATTTTCAATCAGATTAGTTTATCTGTTGTTTCTTTATGTTATGGATAATTTTTACACTACCATACTTTCAAACAAGTGAAAAGTTTTGTTAATTCTTTGCACTGTTTTTTTTCTTGTGTGCTTTCTGAATATTTTACTATGCACATCTATATTATACTTTTCGTGCTAATTTTTACAACTGATTTTGTTCATTTTATTCCGAAGTTTTGCTTTCCCATCAGTAAATTCCGAGATCATATCATAACGTGAAATTTGTTCCCGGGATTGAAAGAAAAGTGTATATTCACCATCATGAAAGCCGCATTTTTCTGTCGTATTACATCAATGGGTAAAAATGTTTTGATGGGAATTTACCGAAAGAGAAATCCATGCTAAGGTAAAGCGAACTGCCTTCGAGATATATAGTGTTTTGAAACCTTAACTGCGTCATGTGGATGTGCAAATTTTTTCTTGATGTATTATATTTCTCAAAATCTGTCATTGCTATGTGTTATTAATTATTTTATGTGCTTTAATTGCAACCGTAATGTCCAGTTCCTATACGAGTTATTTATATTTCACAGCAGATGCGGGATATCAGCTTGATTGCAACCAAGCTTAGCTATACGTTAAGAAACTTAAAATTTAAGCAAGCTAGTAGCTTCGCGGAATTTGGTCAAATTTATATATCTGATCGTCTAGACGATAAGAGACAACCCAACGTTTCAGATAATATTAAAAAGTTGATTTTCGAAACAGTTCTTGAAAACTTAGGATCAGACGTATTTGTCAAATTCTTGTTTATTAGAGCAATGATATAATAGTTAGGACGGAGTTGATAGCATAAATTTGCATCAAATTAATTCTTTCAGATGGATCATACGTTTGCCTGGCTGATAGAAGTTTAATCAATTCGACAAAAATAGTGCCTTCTGAGGACAGTTGTCAAAACTTTATTTTAAATGCACACAAAGACAGTTTATTTGTGTGGTGTTCTGAAAGTTTCATAAATGCCGACTTTATGCAGTGTGATAAATTAAAATTATTTATTACATCTCAACATTTTTCCTTCAGCTGATCGACGTAATCTGAACCGATTCCAAGCTATCAACTATGAGAGTTTCTAGTATCAATGAATGTATTCTTTCCCATTGAGGAAGTTTTGTTGTGCCAAAATTTGATGTCACATATAATTATAGCAAAATTTTACTGATCAGGAAAATTAAGGAAAATTAATGAAAACAAACTTGAAACAATGGAAAGGGAAAAATAATTTCGCATAGAACGAGAATTTCTTCAAATTGCAGTGAAAATGGATTTGCAAATATTTTTAGAGATATCCACTGATCCATACTTTCACTTTGTTGACTTTGGTGTTTGATAAGTGAACGAAAGAAAGAATATCGCCTGGGAAAATTGTAAAGAAAATAAATGAGTAAGTAATTACTGCCAGGTTATTTACGGAAACAAAACACGTGGATTTAATTACATTCCTTCATTTCATTGAATAGGAATGTAAGAATGAATTTAGACTAGATAGTATAAAATCACTTTTTTAAATCGGAGGATGAGTGAGAAAGAAGTTAGGAAATGACAAGTATAAGTCAAAGGAACCGAATGCTTTTAAACAAGTTTCAGGACAAAAATGTCACCTGTGAGAGATCTGCAGAAATGTCCTCAGATTATTAATGATGAGAGAGTTAAGTATTATCAAATTTGCTTTCATCTTCGAACTTCTGTTAACCATCCGCATAGCTTCCCTCCTAACTTCTACTTCTACCGGAACTTTCAACTAACGCCTTTCATCTAAATTACGATACAGAATTTCAGGAGAGAAAAAAAGATAGGATTCCTTGAATTCATGCTTTTACAAGAACTAGATCTCAACCCGCCATTTCGATTTTTAAATGTCTTCGTCCTGATGCGAAACCTGGATTTCTCGGCTATCATAAATATGGGATACACACAATAACCGTTTCAGAAACCAGCTGCTAATGGAAATCACGTAATTCACTCAATATCTTGACACAGAGTTATCTCGCTTACTGAAGTATCAAAAATTTTCCGGGGAAAGAAAAGAAAACGTGTGAACAATGGAGTAATTTCATCGCTTTATCAATATTCATACCAGTTACATGTTTACTCAAAGATCAGATTGTTTATTTTTTCAGTTTGTTTGTTTATATTTCATTAGCAAATCTAACCTACCGCCTATTTCAATTCTCAACAATCTATATATATCTGTTACGGTGACCGACAATGAAATGCATAAAATCGATGAGCAACATATATTGTAACCTGTTTAAATATGAAGAAAAAGAGGAAGATAAAAAAGTAATTTAGGAAAGTGACATTTTACAGATAAGACTTTTAATTACATTAATGAAATGAACAGTGGAACAATTGTTCGATCTAAAAATCAAGTATAATATACAGCTTAATAACACGATGTGATGTCAAGTGGAAAATAAGTGAAAGGCTAGAAGAGGTATCGTTCATCTATTCAGCTTTTATGCGGCAAGAATTTAACGATTCAATATAGTTTCCCTCGAAAACAAAAACACTGCCTAAATTTATCGAAGTTCGATCCAAACTGAACCTAACGAAGAATTTAACAATTAAACACTCCGTCTGCATACTTAGTAGTAATTAGAGATTGTAATAGCCGTTCAATCAATAGACAAACTGGATAAAGTAATTTCACTGTTAATTTCCTGAGCTTTTCTCAAGAAAGTTCGCGCAAGGCTACGTGCAACACGTAGTTTTACTATTTTGAACCGTATAATATATAGTCAGTGTGATAAACTATCCTTTTGCTAAATAAGAGAATAATTTTCATTGCATTATTATTTTGATCCAACAGGAATTTGCAGTGCTATTCTCTCATGATGAGTCAACGCATGCAACATATATGTATCCGAATTGATTGGTCTATTGTAGACAGTCATGCATTTCATGTTGACTCATTCCACAGATATTTTGAAATTCGGATATAAAGCAACACCGTAGAACGAAAGTGAAAGAATGACTAAGCGCTCAGAATTTTCAGCATAGCCTATTTTAGGCAATGTTGAAAAAAAGAAGGGATGAGCAGGGAGGAAAGCAATAAATATGAATAATGCAACAATCCATACTAATGAAAAAATTAAAAACATATTAAAATCATTAATCATTAGTATCTGACAGCATAATATTCTAACAAAATTTCGAAAAACAAAATTTGTTTCCATAAAAACAAAATCAAATACAATGAAGAATACTATAAAAACTTCTAAAATCCTTATTAAAAATTCAAATTTTTGATATCAAATCCTTATAACAGAAATGATAATTACACTTGTTTTATTTCTGCTATAGTTCAGAAAAAAGCAAAATCTGCTTCTCGTCACAACAGAAGAGAACAACAGGTAGAAAATAAAATTGCCCATTTCGAAAATTTAAAGCCAATTTAGGCATACCTCCCTGAATTGCTGGATACACAATCACTCGGGCATTAGTCAACATTTTGCGAAACCTTCTTCTCGTAACTGTATCTTCGATTCTTGCTCGAATAATTTTACTTTGATATGTGTAAACAGTGGCAAAAAATGCAAATCGTAACATTCATATTTTAATGATGAAATACCATCCGTTTGTTGACGCAACGTTGTTTTAGCCAATAAATCATATCGGCATCTGAAATTGATTTCTCTCTTACGATAATTTTCATACTACAATTCGCAATTTTAAATCGAGTATTTTTTGAAAAAATGGAATTCCTCGAGTTCAGCACATGCATGCATATAATTAATGCACAAATTAATTAACTAATTAATTAATTTATTTATTACGCTACCAGCAACAAACAAAATACCTGAATTTTTTTCAATAATTAGAACTGCATAAGGAGGAGGAAACTAACCTATTGATGGGATTTTTCGTCTCTGATTTATGCGTAATCATTTGATAGCGAGCAATTTCCGACGGATAACGCATAATTTTATAGCCAACAGAAGTTACTCTAAAGAGAAAACATTTGTTAAAATGATTTACATATGAACTAATTTGATTTGTAAAATTGCGGATTGCTTCCTTCTGTGCATTTTAGCATTTGAATGTCAAGTTCTTGCAATGTTACCTTACTCCTGTCAGCTAACGTAAACAAAAATATCTTTTTTTTTACAATTTTTTAGAAAAATTAAGAATTTCTCCCTCACCGCATTGAGAGATCATCATCTTCGCCACCCCATCCCCAATAGCTGTTCGAAAAGCCATTTATTTTTACGAACTGTTCAGTTCTAATAGCACAAACACCTCCGAATATTGACCCATAAGGTAATCTGCAATGAGTAAATAGTTCAATAACCAGTATTTCCAATACTGTCGAATGGGCCTGTAAAATAAGTTGTCTAAGGATTTCTTAATATTCCACACTTGAAATCCACAAAGAAATTGAAATTTTATAAAATAATATAAATTTCAAATGTAATGAGATTAGTTCTGAAGGACAATCATTGCAAGAATTGAATCCTGGAAAACAAACTAATTGGAGAAACAATGATTGCAGAAAAGTAGATTCGCTAATTTAAAATTTTAGATGAATACTTAGTGTAATGGAAAATTGGAATAATTCCGATAAAGCATTCTCTTTACTAAGCCCGTTCAGTTCCCTATCATGGCTCATCTTTTAAGTGCGTTGGTAATAAATACACTAGGCCTTCCTAGAAGAGAATTACAGTGCCAACAGCCAAAAAATTACGTTTAGTTCATCTAATCGTCTCACTTGTAATGAAATTGATTTAAAAAACAAACTTGTATTGAAATTTGTTGACCGCAACACTCATGTGCCTTGGTTGGTCCGGACAGGAATAAATGTTGCGATCGTCCTCTGCCAACAAATCAACATCATGAAACACGAAGCATTGCCAATCATAAACTTTCATCGCTTCCACATATCCGACATTCATTAACTTAGCGCGATTGAATGTTTCATTTTCATGTTGCTCAACGACAAAAATTGCGTAATCGAGTTGCTGTTTAGTAAGTAATGAGTGAAGATTGTGTAACAGAATACGTAAGTGAGCTTCTCGATCTCTAAAATATATGTGATATATTAGATTCTAAATGTGGAAAATTAATTTATAGAAAATTCTAAATGAGAAATAATCGAAAATGCATTTTTCGCAAAATGACGAAAATAAGGAACTATACTATGCGCAAATGTAATGTTTTGTTATTATGTAATGAATTTATTTGCCAAGAAAAACTCTTCAACAAATGGGTAAATTTGAATCATTTATTGCCACTCTCGGTATAGGACGAAAAGTTACGGTAAGCGGAACTGGATAATTACTGACATTGACTCGATGAAAGCCTTATAAACTATAGAGCAAATTTTCAATCCTGTTCACACTATTTGACAAATATCAAACTTGATTGATCTCTGTCAAAACTGTATTTTTTTTCATAAATATTCCGTTATGTAAATGTTAAAACATTGATGAAATTAATACCACATATTGAAAGCGAACCTGTAAGGCACGATAATAGCAACCCTGTGTCTTGATTTGCAACTTCTTGGTTTTCCATGGCCACCAGATTCTAAATATGGATTCAATCGTTCGATTTCTTCGAATGTTGGCTCATCATACCATACTTTTATTGGACCAACCAAACCAGGTGGTGTTAGAGGACAATTCACCAAGCTAAAATTTTGCCGCACCATTTGCAAGCCCGGAATAACCTTAGGTGTTGGTAATGTTTTATTGCCATACAGTTGTTCGATAGATTGGGGACCTGAAACTAAATATTTATAATTCCATAATTACGAATTTTGCGATAAATGTTGTTGATTATTTGCATCACCTAAAGAAAGTGCATCAAATGGCTCTCATGTAAATACACGAACTGAATCTGAAAAAATAGTGCCTTAAGCACTATAAAATTCTTATATTTTGAAAATAATAACACTGTATGAAAACTTAAGCCAGTAGTTCAGCGATGCCACTGTCCACGTTTACTTGCTCGAATGTGGGTAAGAGGACAAAACATTAGCAAAAGAATTACCTCTTCTATGCAAAATAAAATTTTTTAATAAAAATATATCATGAAAATGGATACGGATTTCTCAGTTTACAAAAATCCAAAAAATTATATGCATTTGAGAAATCCAAACCTACGCAAATCAACTAACCTCTAATAATCTTCAACGTCGTGTTATGAATACTTCCATCAATGTTCGAAAAGTTGACATTCTTTGTATGTGTTTCTGTTGGCTTATTTGTTGAAGTGGTGGCGGTGGGTTTATCAACTGTTGGATAAACACTAGCTAGTTCATCGCTGAGTAAGCCGCTAGTGGATGAATTATAAAATTTTGAAGAAATGTTGACTGAATTATTAATTGAAGCAGCGCTAGTCAACTGAGGTTTTCTATCATCATTCGATGAAATTTTTGTGGAATTATGATCATTGCTACTGTTGATATCATGCACTAGAATGATTTCCTGTCTACTGCTTTCAAATATTGGCCTCCAAATATGATAGTCACTGAAAAACGATAAGCCACCGCCTAGAAAAATATGCGCTGCTACACCGAATATTAACAAAATGATAACGAGACGTCCAGCTGTAAACATCCTTGGGTCTGCTGCTGCATAATATTTTATGCTTCATCCTCTTCAGCATCGGAAATGAATGAACGTTTCAACATTCGTCTTTGCGTTGGATTACACCAGCCGATAAAACCTGTACAAACAAAAAATAAGTATATTATTACAAGAATGCTGATAACGTCAATTACGTCGGAAAGAAAAAACGTGAAACGGCCGCGTAATACTAATTCATATGAAAGCGTGAAAAAATTAAACATAAAGAAGCCCCTTTAATTGATTGCTAATTAAAATTAGCAACTTCCTTATCAGCTATGAATCGTTTCGATCCAATGCGCCACATTGCCAATCGAATTCTTTCATTAATATCAATGATCCCAACTATTTTCGCTAGTTGAAGTATTGTTTTATCAGCGTCAGTCAAACAAAATAATTCTGCGAAATTATTTATGAAATGTCTTATGAACACTAATCGTTCCGGATTACCGTGCAAAATTGTAATCGAAGAATTGAACACTTCTTGATCAATACCAATTCTCCAATCAATTGCGCTAAAAAGAAATTATAGCTAAATTTGAAAGGTTTTCAAAGTGTACAAAATAATGCTTAAACAAATTCCTTCTTTCCTGACGATTGCTCATTTCTGAATATTATTTCCAAAAGAAAAGGATAGAGGAAGGCAAGTAAATCCAGCAAACTTTCAACTTGAAGAAACAAATTCTTTACTTTTTGGGTCCCGTTCATTTTCGAATATTTATTCTCATACGAAAAAAAAAGTAGAAAAAAGAAAGTTAATCCGGAAATTCTTCAACCTACCGAATTTTTCATTATTCACCTTATGGTGAATAATAGAAACTGATGTGAACTTGCAGCTCTGCATGACCCTTCTAATCCGTCCCGCTTCTTTCTTTCAAAACTACAACGATTTCCTCGCATTCGCTGTAATGCAAATGCCACATGCCCGCATAGAGAGGTTCGAGACTATTTCGGAATTCGATGGCACTTTATTTTTGGCGTTAATCCTGATAGGGTGGTTCGGAAAATAGAGGTGTAAGTCTAAGCTGGTTGTATTTTGAAATTTTATATTTACTTATGTTGCAAATTCCCTAGAAGCAAATGCGCAACCGTAATTGCTATACATTTACTTGTTAGCACGCATCAATACATACTTATCTGATATGTATTACAAACTGGCATATTTCTAATCAGATGTGAAATTTCATGCCAATGGGTGCTGGTATACATTTACCTATTAACAAACACAATTAGCAGACGGAATAAAATAACAGCAAAATTCTCGTGAATTTAATTTTTTCCAGTAAAAAAAAATAGTTTTTTCAAATTAAACGACTAAGCGCGCTTTTAAGAACATTTATTCTCATTATTTTCATCAATGATGTAAATCGTGAGCTTCTATGAATTTGAAAATAGCAATAGCTACGTTATGCAATGATTATCTTACCCGTGTTAATTCATAAATGACATGATGTAAACGATTGCTATTTCTCTTTTCAATCTATTAATTTTTTAGCATTTTCAATGATGCGAAATTTTCGACATTTTTTTTTTCAATGAATAGAAATTTTCCTAAATTTCGACGAAAAAACATTGCAATAGTATATTTTTTAAATTTTCAATCAATAATAATGTGATAGTATCTATTATTAGTTGAAATTCTTAAAGAACATCTAAAAATTTTCAGTAGCAATATTTCTTTTTAATTATTAAAATTCATTCATCGGCGAAATGCATTCATCGGTTTTATATGTTTTCTTCTTTTCTTCTTTCTCATCATCTCTCCAAAAAAGAAAACTGAAGGGAGAGAAAGCTGTTCCATCAAAGTGTGGAATTTATTTATAATTTATATTTATATTTATATTTATAATTTATATTTATAATTTGTTTATATTTATATTAATTTAATCTATATTTAATTTATATTTATATTTATATATAATTTATAATACTGCTAATTTATATTGAATGCATGAATAAAATAGGCGTAGGATATAACTATCCGAATAGAATTCAATGTTACTGTTGCTGATATGCACATTGTTGCATTCGATAGAGATAATGATAAGGATGAGAAATTTTATAAGGTAACATTAGAGGCATATGCCATTGTTTCTTTAGTATATTACAAACAAATAATCTAAGGTGAAGATTGAGGAGAATGAAGAGTTACAGGATCCTATCTTACATCTTCTTCACAAATTGATCTATGATTAGTGAAGAAATGCAATAAACTTTCAGCAACACACGCACACACACCTTCACACCTTCACAAATACATATACAAACATACACACACACATACACAAATGTTATACAGAACTTACAGCTCATATCATACGAAAGAAATAAACAAATTTCATTTTATTTATCTGATTTGTCGAATGTAAATTCAACCAACTATTGATCCTTTCTTTTTCATTCTATCATTAATTTATGTCATTGGTTAAATTTAATTTATTATTAATTTTCAGAATTGCTTTTTTTTACGAATTAGTTTATTGCCTTCTTTCTTCTCATGCAATGCATGCATACTTAAAAAATGTTATCAAGAAAAAGAATAGCTCGTATCATTCCATTCCGCTAATATCATCTATCATTTATATTTGATTGGGGAAAAAAAGGGAAAATGAAATCTCAAAATTAAATTTACTATTAATTCACTTAAGCGATATTCAAGTAATACCATAATTCACTTAAACGATATTCAAGTAAACAATATTGAAATAATTAACAATATTGAAAAAATTATTAAACTTAAGCATAAAAAAATTACTCATAAATAGCACAACATGAAAAACTAAGCATAAAAATTATTTCGCAAAAAATTTGTTATTCGATAAATTTCACAAACAAAATTTTTCATGCAAACATTAACGAATTAATATATCTAATAACAATAGGAGAAAATAATCCCATCTAATTAATAATTAAAATAATTATTAGGATTATAGAGGAAATAAAATTAATCCATTACATTCTTCATCTTATTTTATGTAACAGATATTGAAATTTTCGATAAATTAAGCTGCAAAATAGCATCAGATGATAGTTTTAAGAATTACAAATGTTAGGAATGAAATGTTTAGTTTGGTGAATGGACCAATTTGGCAATCAAATTGAAGCAAATAGAAAATGATGAAAATTTAGAAAGAAAAGAGAAAAACATGTAAGGGAAGAAATTTAAATATCAGACATTGCCAACAAAAAATTCTTTCTTTCACATTTTCATCAAAATGAATTCAAGGGAATGATACTAAATTTTAAATAATCAATTTCATGTTGACATATTTAGGTTAATTAAATTCCACATTTTACATATCATTCAAATTCAAATGAAATAGCAACAGATTATTTCTCCAAAATTTCACTCCATTAAATAGTAGCTGTCATCGAAATTTCCGCTAACATGCATACAACATTCCCAAAACTTAATTCTTTCAATAGAATTGCAAATATTCCAAAAAATATTTTGAATTTAATTAGTAGACTAAAAAGACTTATACGGTGTAAATATCATTCCATTAATTATAATAACGGATATATAAACGGAAAATAATCTTTCATCGAACATCGAACTAATTAAAACAAATCTCTGCCATAAAACAACCAAATGAAACAAAACATTATTTTCTCGACAGATCATTGAACGACATTGTATGACCGTACTCACCGATACCCTTCTCGAGATTCACCGATACCCTTCTCGAGATATGTTATAGAAATTAGCAAAATTTTTAAATTTAGATATAATTTAAGCAAATCCTGAAATATATATAAACGGTTGAAATAACACTTGTAAGTCACTAATTCATCCATTCAGTGAGCCAAGAAAACCAAATAAATGATTAATAAATTATAGTTAAGCAAAATAAATATCAGGTATGAATAAATATTTAATAATTTACTCTAAAATCCAAAAAGGCTTTTAATTTCAATTTCAATTAATCAAAAATTATTTATACATATGTTTCAGTTATTATTTGAAAAAATTATTTCAACCAAAAATGTATTAGCGGGAAGTTGAAGTACATGTAGATTAATTAAAATTTTAATAATAATTTTGATAGCAGAATTGATGATAATTTTGATAGCTGAATTGAACTGAAAAATTTCCTTCCTTTACAATCAAACTTAAGATTAATTTAAAAATATATATTTTCCTTGTTTGAATTATACCATCGAGATGGTTGGAGGAATTGATTGAAAATCTCATCAAGACTGTATTCATTAGGTATTGATAAGAAATGCTTGTATTTGTTGATAATTTTATGCTTATTTTGATAGCCTTAAAGGTAGGTGCAAATGCTCTCCGTACAATTAGTTTGGAATTGCATAGAATTAAAATTAAATATAATTGTAAAATATATATATATATACATAGAATAATTTGGAATTGCTCAGTGAAATGAATATGGTATATAATTTAGGATATATTTAGTATATAATAATGATGTTGAATTGATATGCATTTTGTCACACTTTATCTTAGACTTTATCTTAGAAGAACAGTTTATTGCTATGTTTAATAGCTAAACTTTTTGAATCGATAATAACTGGATTAAATGAATCAGTCTGGTGATAATTTATTCTTAAACCTTTAATTAAATAAACCACTTGCAGAATAATTTACCCTTTAGTATCTACTTAAACAAATCAACATGATAATCAAATTGATAAAATTATTTTATCTATAAAAGTTAATTGATAATAATTCTATCAATTTGATAATAATTTTATCTCAGCAATATGGTACAATATTTCCCAACATATCTAATCTAATTACATCTAATCAAATATACCCAATATACCTAATCTAATATACCTAATCAATATATCCAATATACCTAATCCACTCGGAGAATAATTTACTTTTAATATTTACTTAAACAAACCAACATGATAATAGCTTACATTTAAAGCTAATTGATAATAATTTTAATTTGATAATAATTTTATCAATTTGATAATAATTTTATCTCAGCAATATGGTACAATCTTTCCCATTGATAATAATTTTATCAATTTGATAATAATTTTATCTCAGCAATATGGTACAATCTTTCCCATTGATAATAATTTTATCAATTTGATAATAAATTTATCTCAGCAATATGGTATAATCTTTCTCAATGTATCTAACCTAATTGGTAAACATACTAATTGAATAAATAGGAATATGTAATAATTCATGTAAAAATATTATGTGAATTTTCAAATTTACAAAAGCTTCAAAAGCAATTTCAATAATTTCATTATTTATCTCTCATTTAATAACATTACTTTGTAACATAAGTAAGTATTAGCTAAATTTATTATATTTCTCCTTAATTGATAATAATGATTTCATTTGATAATTTGATTGATAAAAGATATGGTTGAATTATTATTTGATCTGATAAATGTATTATTCATTTATGAAATGATTGTAAAGAAGAGAGGAAAGGGATAGGACAGAAGAGGATAGGAATAATGATAAATAAATGAATGAATGAATTGATTGAATGAATGAATTAAATAAATTGGATTGAATGAATTAAATTGAATTAAATGAATTAAATAAATTGAATAGAATTAATTGAATTAATTAAATGAATTGAATTGAGTGAATTGAATTAATTAAATGAATTAAATAAATTGAAATGAATGAATTGAATAAATAGATACAGAGAGAGATGGATAAAGAATAGAGTGGATAGATGAATGGGAGAGAAGGGAATAGAGTGGAATTTTATGATCTGAAATAAGAGAAATGAGGAAAAGGTTTGCTGTTAGCTAATCATTGCTGTTGCTTACCAAGGGAGCTTATAAGAGCTGTAACAGCTAACTATCTGATTGACATTAATTCGTTTGCTTCTCGCCCTCTTCCTCCCTCTCTCTCTCTCTCTCTCTCTCTTCCTCTCTCTCTCTCTCTTCCTCTCTCTCTCCCTCTTCTTCATAAAATTCTCATTTTTCTCTTTCATTTCACTTACAATATATTTATTTATTAATTTCATTCATTAACAACAAACGTTTGTTTATAGATGAATTATGGGAAATAGTGGTAGTTCACTTAGTGATCTCAACTTATTCTCTAAAGGTGGTATTTTTACGCGAGATCAAATTGATGAATATCAGGTTAATCAATTTTTCGCTATTATTTATATCATTATTATTAATAGATGGCATAGCAGAAAATATTAATTACTAATATAATAGTGATAACATTAGGAGTGATAAGATTACAAGTAATAGGAGTACTAATATACAAGTAATAGGAGTGATAAAATTTTTACTTTATGTTTTATTATTAAATGAATATGAGAGCATATGATTCATTCATCTGATCTTCATATCACAATCAGTGATATAAAGAATTTGTTATTAATAAAATTCGTGTTACTATTAATCACATTATAATTTTTTATAGTTTATTAAAGAAATTATTTCTTTAATGCTATAATACTATAATATTAATATTACAATGACTACAGAGTAATGCAGTAATTGCCTCATTATTTGATCGCTAATTAGTATAATTGTTAAGAGAGTTATGTCATACTAATTATTTCATCATTGAGAAGTAATAAAATATTTAATCGAGAATATTTTTATAAAATTAAATTTGTTGTTTCGTGTGATTTAACATTATTTGAGTAAGGTTTAAATAAATGTAAGTTAGTTGGACAACCAACATTAATATAGTGATGAGCATGAAACTTTGACAGATAAGGGAAGTATGATTAATTATAACATCAGTTTTTCTTTTCATTTTTTATCATTAGTTAATAGGAATTGAACTAATTAAAAAAGAAGTAACAGAGTGCTTTTTAATTTTTATTAAAAAGTAAAAATGGAAAAGTTTAATTACTATTTTAGGATTGTACATTTTTCACGAGGAAAGACATTTTACGTCTGTACAAACGGTTCTATACACTCAATCCGATTAAAGTACCAACAAATATGCAAGGAAATCGTCCGGCTATTATAAGATTATGTTTTGAAGAAATCGAAAAAATGCCAGAGCTACGGGTATTTCTTTTTTGCAGAAGTACACAAAAGATATGAATATGGTTTGACAAATAAAATTTTTTAATTTCGTAAGGTATCAAATATTTCAGGAAAATCCGTTTCGACGACGGATTTGCCAAGTGTTTTCGGATGATGGGACTGGAAATTTAACATTTGATGATTTCTTGGATATGTTTTCTGTTTTTAGTGAGATGGCACCACTGCAACTCAAATTGAAATACGCATTCCGAATATACGGTATTTGAATTTCTTTTTTTATTATCTTACTAGTCATCAACATTTGATGATATATGGTGTTGAAATTTTTGAACTAAATTTTTTGCAATCGAATTTAAAGAAGTACGGAAATTTATGGACGCGAAAAATTTTGCAGATTTTGATGGTGATGATCAGCTTGGTCACGATGATTTAAGCAAAATTATCCGATGTTTAACGCGTGATGAATTTTCGGATGAAGAAGTTGAATTTATTATTGAAAGGGTACGGTAACGCATTCTCACTTTTTGAATATCAGTTTTTCCCTGCATTGATAATATACGGAACAGTAATGTCTTTTTTCCTTGTTCAGTATATTAGTAATTGAGAATGATTGTTGCCTATAAATTAAATCATCACGGATAAAATCATAAAAACCCGATTGATTAAAAAAATGCAATAATTTTCAATTTATAATTAGCAATCGGTTTTCAATTTCTTGAATTCCCAAATCTAGAATTGGATTCGGCACAAAATTGTACTGAAAAAGAAAATTAAAAGTGATATGAAATCTGCGCATGTCTATGTCTATAGATTTCTTGTTTACATTACAAATTAAGCATTTTCGGTTTTTCGAGTACTTAGAACATTTCTCACACTGACCTTTTCTTCTTCCTTCTAGGTAATCGAAGAAGCAGATCTGGACGGTGATGAACAAATATCATACGCTGAATTCGAACATGTTGTTTCGCGTTCACCTGATTTCATCCGTACTTTCCATATCCGTATTTAATGTAATATGAACTCTTATTTATTATTCATTCAAATAAACTTTTGAATCCCTGTCAATTAGCATGAGAATTATTCAAAGGTTTGGATCTTGACTTTATCAACGTATATATTATCCCAAAATACTTAGAACGAACATATCAGCGCATTAAATTGATTTTTTAGTGCATAATTCATAACTCACTATTAATGGTATGCTAATTTACTGGGCCATTGTAAGGGTTTTTTATGTATTTTTATGTATACTAGCTAACAGCACTTCTTCGTATAAAATTGAAAGAAACGCGAAACTTGTGGATCCTCAATGAAAAAACTGAAAAAATAAAATGTAAAGCATAGACCCGTCATGCAAAATATTCTGATAGAGACTACCTGTTATAATGCTAACTGTGCAAAAACGTACAATGCAATACTTATCTCTAATATCTCTAATGTGCCAATAATTTCCTCTAGCACTTGAAAAATCTGTGAACAACAATAACATTATTATAGATGTCCAATAAGACACAGTATCATTTTAAAACAATTGAAAATGAGTGTTCACAATTCAAGTTGGAATTTCTTGTGATGAAAAAATCGTGCTTTCGATTTTGAGCGTTCTCAAAGACCTATTCCGATCAACTTTCTCTGCACAAAAGATCATGGCGATTTTCACATTTTTCGAAAAACATAGGAATCTCAGTTTCTTAAAGTTAAGTATTTCTCCATCGACAAAATGATATACACTTGCGAACAATAATAATTTAGTGTAAAACAAAAACATAAAATAACTAATGAAATAAGAGAAGTGGATTTGCTCGGTTAAGTTGTTCACAAATATAAATATGGAAATGAAAGATGTTTTTAACAATATGAGATGCATTCCTGAAAATTATAAATTGGGCCTACCATGTAGTCCGAAACTAGAAAAAAATTCTACTGTTTATGCCGTGGTGAAAATTCTCCATCATCCTTTGTTTCAATAACTCCTTGTTTCGATGGAAACCTAAACAAAACTGCATAAGAGAAAAACAGGGAATTTCAAGTGAAATATTAATTCTTAAATTTAAATCAACGACTCACATGGACGGTATCTTCTTCTTTGCTAATTCATTATAAACCGTTAGTGCCTGAGCAACCATACCGCTTGCATTAGCCAAATCAGATGGTACAATTATTGTATTCGTATCCTTAGCTATTTGTCCGAAGGCTGTGACATACTTCTCAGCCACCGATAAGGCTGCCGCATCATAACCACCCGTTTTATTTAACGATTCCGAAACCAGTTTGATACTCAGTGCTTGAGCCTGTGCATTTATCTGAATGGCTTCTGCCTAAAAATTAAGGATTAGCCTCATCACAAGATCTTTATGAAATAGCGTGGCCAACATGTGACTTGAAGTCCCACGTGCTTTCTTGAAACAATTTCACTAAAACAGAAGAAAGCTTTAATACAAATTTCAATTTACATTTTCCAAATAAACAAATAAAATCTACAGTTTTGGTCCGTCCTCAAACCACTAATATTCATTGATTTCTCTACATCAACAATTTTTCTGACAATACTTTTGTTCATTTTACTCCTTAATCAGAATAAAATGGTAATAAAAGAAAAAAGTAGCTTCGTTTTATCCAAACAATCTAAAGTAGACTTCAAATCAATTACCTTGCCCTTAGCTTCGTTAATTTTTTCCTGCATCGAAGCTTCCGAAGCTAAAATGCGTGCTCGCTTTTCACCTTCCGCAATATTAATTGCTGCCTCACGCTTGCCCTCTGACTCTAGAATTGCCGCACGTTTCCGCCGTTCCGCTTCCACTTGCATCTGAAATGTACTTCAAAATCTTACATTCTTACCTAATTTTTTTCCTGAAAAGAACAGCTCTTTCTTTCCAATGCTATCCTCTCATAGTAAATATTCTTTGTCTGTGACAAGAATACAGTGGCAATTATCGAGCATCCTCAAATGCACATTACGAGATAATAAAATTTAACGTGAACTATATTATTTTTAATCAAACATTAATACTTATGTTGATACCATCTTGGAATAAGTAGATAAAATTAGGATGCAGAAAAGAAAAATTAAAGTTATTAGTGGTGGGGCATATTCTTACTAAACTTCTTGTAGAAAAAAAACAACCTGCATTGCTTCCTGAATTTTTATAGGCATTGTCATGTCCCCTGAAATTTGATATAGCTTCACCTTATCAACTCATACCTCTTGAAATAAATTTTACTTTATTTCACTATACAGTGCAATCATCACTAATAAAATGATTAATGTGGAAGTAAAGAAACAATCTGCTCAACAAAATCTGTCTCAAAATTGCCATCACTTAAATGATTTCAATATTCAAAATCTCCAAATTTAGGTCTGGATCAATTAAAAGAAATACTTACTAATTTCATATCGCATGCATTGCAATCCCCAAGGCTCAGCTGCTTTATTTATCGACTCTGTAAAATATGAAAACTTTCCAGGCAATGCATAATCTTCATCACAGCTCCTAAAGTATCAATTTAAGTTCTTTTAGCCTCGAAATGTAAACAGTCTATAATTAATTCCAAGTTACAATCCAAACAAACCGCCGAGTTCGACTGCCAGCTATGACTTATCTCATAATCATCCTGTAACTAATTAATTGATAATAACGGTAGCATAACATCGACCTCACTGCAGTACAAAAATGGCTCCTACTGTCGTTATTAAAACAAACCGACAATATTGATGTTGAGCTGTTCGCGTTCCTTAAATACTGTGTCTAGATTGATTTTGCCTACTTCCGAACGCATCGTTGTTTGTGCAAGCTGTGTAATCGCATATTCTGGATCTTCAACACCATACGAAGCCTGCATAAAATCGGGTTAAACTAGAATTTTATATCAATCACAAATTAAACTTGAAAACGAATATTTCAGCTAACTGTAAAGAAGTATGGAAAAGATAAATACAGTACTTCACAGAAAAAAATGCAAATTTACATATTTGCATCTTCAAAACACGAAGTATACAAATATGTAAAATCGAGAAATATGAAATGAAATTCATTTCATAATTCGTAAAAATGAGACGGAAAAGTTCTTTTGTATATACCTTGTACGGATCCACTACTCGCAGGTACAGAACTCCATCAATTTGCAATTGCACATTATCACTCGTCACGGCACCTTGCTGCGGTACTTCAATTGCCAACTCTTTCATTACTTGCACATATTTGATACGATCGAGAAATGGCAGTAAAATATTAAATCCCTACAAAAATTTACTTTCACAGTGAATTTCGAAACAAAACACGTTCAGTTGCAAAGATGATTTACATATTTTTACAAAAATAATTTAATTACACGATGGGTTAATTGATTAAAAATTCATTTCCTTATTTCTTCTAAACAAAGTATTCAAGTTGAAATAAATATTTACAGGATCTAAAATAGAATGAAATTTTCCCATGCGTTCAATTATCCAAGCTTCCTGCTGCGGGACAAAATTCACGACAAAATTAGTTTTGCCACGAACAGCTCCTCTTCGCTGAGTAAGGATGGTATTATTCCTAAAACAATAGCTCTTGGAATATCATCTTTGGATTACAAATTGTTGTAAATATAAAAATAAAGGGAAACTTAAGCAAGAGTCTTAAATAAATTGAAGTAAAACTAAATTAGGGTGAAAAGAAAACTAATAAAAAGGAACAAAAAAATATTTAATCGATGATAAATCAAAGAGAACTAAAATGAAATGAAGTAGAAAGGACTAAATAAATGAAATAAAGCGAAGAGGACTTAAATGAAATGTAATAGGAAACACTGAAGCAAACTAAAATCAGCCGAGTGAAACTAAAAAGCAATCAAATGAACTATAAATGATAATAAAATCAAAAAAACTGAAGTCAGTGAGAGAGAATTCTGACGAAGTTATGGTAAAATTAAATTAACCGCATTAAGAAACGAATTTAGTAGACACAAATGAAGCAAATTAAAATCTCAAGAACGAAATTCGAACAAATGCTTACATGAATGGATCGAAAGAGCCTAAATATGTACGGAAATGACCAAGTAATAACGGATTAAGGCTTCTCTTCAACGATGGTACCAAAGACATCTTCCTAAAAACAATAATGTTTAGTGTATTCAAATCAAGAAGTAATCGATTCTGGATTCTTCTATTTGGCATATCAAAAACTCACCCTTTACATCCTGTGAACCACAGTATATATATAAAAGAATTATAGGCAATACAAAGAAAACCGACGTACGACTTAAATTAAAATAGATTAATTAACAGACAAAACGAAAAGAAATAGGGCAATGCCCGGGTCGTGATTTCGTCGTGTAGCGAAGAATGCGGTTGCGCCTTATGCGTAGCAAAAAATTTCTACTTCTAAAATTATTATGATGATATGGGTGAAGTAAAATGGTGTTGTAGTTTTTTTAAATTTATTACTTGAATATTATTTGAAGTTTAAGGCCTTAATTTTGATTGTGAACATCTAATCATTTAAATATTTAAGTGCCTAAATATTTCGAGTGTGAATTTTAAGTGATTTTCTGAATACTATTCAAATTAATCAAATAGACATGAAGTGGTACAAAGAGGGAGAATGGAAGAGCGGCAGTTTCCTCTTTTTAATTGATTAAATTATTAAATGAAAGGAAATGCTTATATGAGTGTGACTTGTATTGTATGTATATTTGTTCGTTTTTGACCATTTTAGTGAGGAACCCACCGAAGGGTTAGCTGTGGAAAGAAAGTTATGTAAAGTAAGTTTTACTCGAACATTCTGTTTATTCTTTTTCTTCTCTTCAACTTTCCTAATTAGTTGTAAACATAGATATTATGATTGTTTACAGTTGTATCAAATGATAACCTTCGATAGAAAAAAGTGATCAGATTTCAATATAACAGAATGAAAATTGTTTACATATATAAAGTGGTTTTTTCTCGAAAATGATTTGATTGAACAAAAATTGCAGGAATATTTAAGAATGCCAGAAGGAGATGTAATATCTCCGAACGATGAGGAACTGTTAAAAGAATTGAAGACAGGACAAACTTTTTATTTAAAGGTATTCTTCATCGAAATTTTGCTGAAATTTCTCAACACTTATTTCAAACAGCTTTTTATAGTTTTAAAATTTTCATTGCTCGTGTTTCTTAATTTGTATTCTTTTTTTTTTTGGCACTTCTTGTTGTTTGTACTTTTTTGTAACAGTTTATCACGAAAACATATAATTTCAGTATCTTGGATCGGTGCAGGTTTACGAATCATTAACGAAGAAAAAACCTGAGGAAAGAGATAACTGGACAAGGTACGTTCCTTATTAAAAAAATAAATGGATTGCTAAAACGTTTTTTAGTCTTTTTCGAGTTATGATAATGATTTAGCTCAAAAAGAGATTTCATGGAAGCGCTTATGTTTAGTATGTCAATAAATTTATATCTTCCAGGCATTGCATGTATCGTATTTGCCATCAACTAGGCATATGTAAAGAAGATTCAAGGTCTGATGAACGATTACTTGACGTAAGTTACATTTTCGTTAAAAGAAATCCAAAAATAGATCATTGGAAAATGTCGTTGTTCCGGACCTGTTAGGATGCAATATATTTTTTATGGATGGCCTCTTCTATCGCAGTTATAATTCTAAATTAAATAAGTCATATTCTGTTTTCGTTTTCATTGAATTTGTCAGGTTAGACAATCGTAAAAACCAAAAAACTTTGAGAATGAGTTGACAAAAATGAAGAAGAATGGACTAGTTAGGTGTTTAATTAACGATTATAATATAATTAATTGATCTGATGAAGAATTTCATTTGTATGAAACGAATGGGCATACTGAGTTGAGGGGGTTTTTTTACGGTAAAAATCAATAAATCAGTTGCAGAAACTGGGTGAAGTGAAGATCGAAGACAAAGATGTTGAACTAAATGTGGCATTACATGCTTTTATAATTCTCGATAAAGACGGTATACATATTTTGGAACGACATCCCATCCATGTTATTTCATATGCTTCATCAGGCACTGAGGTCTATCTTACTGGATTTTAAACTGATTTGACGTGAATATTGCCAGTTACCATTATTTATTTATAAGAAAAACTCGAAATGTTATTTTCAAGTTATTGCACTTTATAACGCTTATCTCTTACCATGATAAACTTCGCTCATTATTAAAAAATTCTTTTTCTGCATCATTATTAATTGTTCATTTAAATGGACCGTTGTTTGTATTTTATTTTACATATTACGATAAATCGGTGGTTACTTCGAGAAGTTGGTATAGTAGATACTTTATAGAAGAGAGGGGTGAGAATTATAAATAAGATCGTATCTTTCATTTCTATGCATTTATATATGGGCTCACTAAGTTTAATTATTCCACTAACACAGGTACCAGGAAACTCTTTTTAAAATGTAGACATGCAAAAATTATCAACAACTATCCATTTGAAATTTATTACTTCCAATACTATACTGTTTTTTTCACTTTTCTCTCTCATTGTAGGAGTGTACCAAAGGAGTTTTTTGCTTTGTGTCGCACGTTCGAGAACTTGGAAGGCGATGCTTGGTTTTTATGGAACCAGACAAGAATGTCGACTTTATTATGGAAACTATTCTTCAGATATTTCGATTAAATAATAAAGGTTGAAACTTTATTCCATTTCATCTTTTCTACTTCCTGACACGAAGAAATTTTCATCTTATTTGGTTTAGTCATGTGAATATGCAAATTTCTGTGAATCCTTCATTGCTCCATTCATCTGTTTTTAAAGTATTACTTCCACAATTGATCGTTGTCTTTCTAGGACATGGTAGTAAGTTAAGCATAACAATAGCGAAGTCATCAGAGCCGAGTTCAAAAGGTAAAACTTTTACATCTGGTCAAACTGTTATGTTTTTCGACCTTAGTGATTTGTTGGATTAATTGAATAATTAAATTTCGGATTTCGATTTCCAAAATTCTAATAATTTCTAAAAAATAATTATTTCGATATCAGAAATTTCTATAATTTATTCATCATGGCATGGGTTATGGAAGAACAATGCAAGAATTTCATGCCTTGAAATTTGTTTAATTTTTTAGGACACTTTTTTTTGATATATCTAGGAAATTTTGTTTTACGATAATGTTTATGAGTGGAACAAAAAAAACGGAAAAGGGAAAGAATATGAGTGGAACAAAAAAACGGAAAAGTTATTTCTGGAAAAGAAACATATTAGTACATTATAATTAACTGGTTTGAAAGATCCAATTGTATTTTAAGGGGAAAATTTGTATCAATTTTTCGAACCACTATTAAAGGAGATTTGCTTGATCGTTAGAATAGTGAATAGTGCTGCTATAACTGAAGAAGTGCGGAGTATATGTTTATTACCAATTATATGCATTTATAATGTTCTGATAATTTCTGAGCATGCTGGATTTATTGTTATGCATTTTGTTTTTCAGATCACCAGATTTATGTTAACGTGTGTAATTTGCCAGCTGCTATGGGCCTGGATAGGCAACCTTGGTATCATGGTGAAATGGAACGAGCTACTGCTGAATCTATGCTGCAACACGAAGGTGATTTCTTGGTTCGTATTAGTCCGAATACTGCCAATAATTTCGTGCTTTCGGGGATTGCTAGTTCAGTCCCGAAGCATTTCTTATTACTGGATGAAAACGATCAAAAGGTAATTTTTTTGCTATCCACACTAAACTGTAAGCTAAAAAATGAGAGATATAGTACGAAAAGTTTCGAATAACTCTGAGCATCCTTCAAAAACTGTAGGCCTGAAAGCTTTTCCAAAACTCAAGTCTTATTTTGCTATTTATGTACATAATATTGCAAAGATAGCAATGAATTCTTATAGGTTCGCAAGCAACAACAAGTATTCGAAACAATTGTTGAACTGATTGAGTACCACCGAGGGGAGAATGTGCCAATTATCTCGGAAGGCAGTGAATTGCACTTGATCCATCCCATTGTAAAATTTGCCGCATCATTACCGCGCCGATAGAATCGACAGAGCAACAAGAAATATGATTGCATGAGCTTATGTGCGTGCCACCGAAATATATATATGACGATAATTTGAGGTGTCTACCAGAAAATTTGCAAAGAAAGAGAGGAGGAGGGCAAGGGGAGCTGAAATGGTCGTACGACATCGGTCGAAAGAGATTCTTTTTCATTAGATGTCTTATTATAACTTCGATATCAGTTAACGTTGCGACTGGGAATGTTCTGAAGGAATTAAATTATTGTAATTAATACAAGTTAGTGATGTCGAATCGTTATCTACTTTCACCACTACTGCAATTGATTCCGTTGTTACTGATCCCGAATTTCGTGGATTCATTACGTATTCTTGATACTGTTGTGTCTTGTGATCAGGTAAAATATCCGAAAATTTTTCTAATATTTTTTGATTGGATACAATTTTTCGGAAGGTCTACTTTTTATAAGTCATTTTAAGTAAACAAGTAAAAAGTAAATATTTTGAACTTAACTGAGATTTTGCGGGAACAATGGGAAATTTATATAATAGTAGGAAAATTGATAAAATAGAGAAACGATAGAATTGAGGTGTCGATAAAACTTTAATAATGAATAATTTGGAACTGTGGTTTGAGGTCAGCAAAACATGGTTCTTATAGAAAATAACTGCGAGATATTTTGACCTCTTTCACACTTTTATTAAACTTTGTTATTTTTATTGAAATTTGAAATTTCATAATTTTTCGATGTTTTTGTTTCGCTTTTACGTCAAACGTTTGACTTTTCTGTTTTTCTCGAAAAATAGTTCATTGAGCAATTCTAAATATTTGATCTTGCATTTCTTCAGCAAAAAAAATCAAATATTTTTGTCCTAAATTTAAAAATTTATGCTTTTTATGAATCATTTTAGAATCGCACTTGAAGTTGAATTTTACAAAAAATATATGTTATATGTTCATTCGATCAAATTTCATAATAATTATGTTTTAAAAAGTAAGGAAATAGAACAGAAGCAGAGTGGACGTAATTAAAACTACGGAGTTGTAATTAAGACTACATGTTTGGAATAGATCTTGTAGTTGCTCAATATTCGGTATTCATTATTTTAATCGATGGCTTATGCAATTATTGTTAATCGCAAGCTGAATTCATTTTTCTAACATTTCTTTTTTGATTGTGGCTGAAATATAAGATTTCCTTGTTCTTAATTTATTGCCAGCAATATCCTTCCGTTCTATCGTTTTTCCGTTTCCATTCATTGTAATTCATATTTAGAATACTTATGTATATATTTATGTATATATTTATATGCGCCTATTCATTCAGTACGAAATGCTCTTTTTATTATTATATCTTTTATTCTTTTCGATCAGCAAAATTAATCGATGATTTGATTTTGGAAAAGTATCATTATATTAGTATCGATTTCTGTATGCAAATAAATTGTTAAATTCAAGAAAGCCTATTTATTGAAAGTCTTTGGTTCCAAATTTCAGTGCTAACATCAGTAGCAATTTAAGCTTAATTTGCTAGCGAGAACTCTTGGATCTTACTTCGAATGGTTCACGATGTAAGCGATATGTGGTGGTTAATTACACTATTTTGCAAAAGATGTGGAGTAATGACTTCCAAGATAAACCAGCATAAAATGAACTTTGCTATGATAAGGAAAGTTATCTGACGACAAATCACATCATCTCTTTGTCAAATCTTTGAGCAGTTCAGTAATCCCACAATCATTATCCTTTTGAAAGACTAAAAATTAAAATATGGTACAACATTTCTACTTCATCTATGAAATGAGGAGTAAATGTATCGTCAACAGCATTTTTCGAATATTGATATTCCAAACTATTATTTTACTCCATAATTCTCTTTGTTCGGAATAGTTTTCATTCTCGAGTATTTTAATTTTTGCTTTTTATTGTGATCTAAATTTCGTGACAGATTTGAGTGGTTTTTTCAAATGCTTTTCGAAGTGATATACGATCGATCATGTTTTATCAGTGTGTCTAAAGTGATTAGAATTTATAATTTAAAATTTTATCATTTATTTCGTCTAAAGCATTCATAAAATACTTGTTGTGATAGTTACTGTATATAATTATTAGCTCTCTTTGTTCCTCTTCATCCTTCTTATGTAATTTTAGCGAGAACTCTTGGATCTTCATTCGGATGGTTCACGATGTAAGCGATATGTGATGGTTAATTACACTATTGTTCCTCTTCATCCTTCTTATGTAATTCTTCTAATATTATTTTGATAGAAGTAAATTACCCTCAAGTTTACTGTATTATATGATTTTTTGAATAATATGCCGGAAGTAATTAAAATGAAGTCCAGCTAGAGCACTTAATCGCCGTAAATCTACTGTTGAGATAGGAATACTGTTGAAGTCAAGTATTTCCGGATTTCAAAATGCCATAACTATTGTGTCAAGTAGTTCCAGTTTCAATAATGATATTCCTAGTATTAGATGAATGGAGAAGATGGATTAATTTTATGCCGCCGTGGAAGCATTTTTGATGCATAATTTATGAAGATTGATATGATTTACTCCATCTGTAGAAAATTCTAGTTCCCGCGAAGTGTTGATAAGCATGCGAGCTTACTGCAAACTTACATATATTCTGAGAGTGCGAAAGAGAAAAGAATGATCGTTTTTGAAATGTTTGTAAAATTTAATGAAATTTAGTTTTGATTAAAATAATTAGAGGAAAAGAAATGTAAGTGAAATACAGGTGGACATCTTATCGTATCGTATAAAGTGGAAACGAAATGAATATAAGATTTTAGTTCTTCTAGTACTAGTAATATATTAATAACTTGTTTTATTAACTATGAAATAATATGTTTACCTTAGAAATTTACTTACCACTTACAGTATTCTCTTCTTTTTAACTCTTTGAAAATTTTATTTATCATAATTTTTAATTATTTGAACTTATATATTCTTTTAATTGATAATGTCAACCGTTTTTCTATCAAGGACTTTCCGGAATTATTGTTATTATCATTTGTAATCTTAGCAAATAAATACCCTTTTAATATGTTGTTTACCTTGAAAATTTACTCTCCACTTACAGTATTCTCTTCTTTTTAGTTCTTTGAAAACTTTATTTATCACAATTTCTAATTATTTAAGCTTGCTTATATATTCCTTTAATTGATAATATCAATCGTTTTTCTATTAAATATTTTCCGGAATTATTGTAATTACCATTTGTAATCTTAGCAAATAAATATCCTTTGCTACATAAAAGCCAATAATAATGTTTAGTACAACAAAAGTATCGGATTGGATCTAATTGTAAAACTGATGAGAAAAATTGTTATTCATTAATTTCATTCATTAAGTCCTGGAATTATTCATTAAGTGCTGGAATTAATTAATGAATATTAAGTCCTGAAATTAATTTCATTAAATGCTATTCATAATCATTAAGTCCTGGAATTAAATTTGATTTTTAAACTTATAAGTTTTCAAAAATTTAAGCACATATTTGCAAGAATAGAAAAAAATGAACAGAAAACATTCAAAGAGTTTTAAAACCTTACAATAATAATGTTCGTTTCATAAAGGAAACGATTTCTGTTACTGAATAATTAATTGTGTTATGTTTTAAATTTAATTGTCTTTCTTTTAAAATATTCATACTTATATTTCATCCATTGAAATCAAATTTTATCACTTCATCCTCTGATATCTTATCTGAGATTACCGGTATACCTTTTAATTTAACAAGCATTTTTGTTATAACAAGAGTTTAGATCAGCAAATGAGGATCGACCATTTAGCTAATCAATAAAATATCGATCAGTTAAGCATTTAATAATGAAATTACCCATAGCTAAATTCATTAGGTCGTATATATACGAAAAGTAATTCAAGCAAAATCAGTAATATCTGCCAGAAATTTGATACTCAATTTTTCTTCTTGTTTTAATTAGCTAAAATTATTGCTGGTTAAATTAAGATTTGTTTAATTTATTTACATCTATATGATTCATTTATCATATATTTACATAATATTTTCATTTATCTTAATTATCTAGCATTGTAATTAAAATGTATAAATAATTCACTATTCCATGCATATTTTTATAACAAATGTTTTATTGTTTTATTTACTTTTACTAATTCTTTTATTTGCAAAATAATTTCACAAAAATTGTATTTATTTAGTGAATAATTTTGCAATTAATTGATATTATCAATTTCATTTTTTTTCAAAATTACTTTTAATATAAATTTCTAGAAGATTTTGGCAACATTTTCAACGAATATTTTATTTTGGTAGTAGTAATTAAATAATATTATATAAGAAAATGTTCGATTTGCTTTTTTTGAACATAAAAATAATAATAAATAAATAAATAATAATAATAATAAATAATATTAATAATAATAATAACAATAATAGTAATAAATAACAATAATAATAATAATAACAATAATAATAAGGATGATAATAATAATTAAT